ATTTCAGAGCTGGGGGGTCCGCGGGGATGCAACATAAACTGCATTCCTTTAAAATCAGCCTCTGCCATCCATGATTCTAAGTAGACCCAAGGGCAAGCTGTCGTAGATTACTGCTTATCAGTGGCATCTGATTGGTGATTTTAGGATAACACAGTGCATCTCACCACTAGGACTTTGTCTGTTAGTTGTGGACCATTGAACTCCATTTGTTACTGGCACATGGCAAGTCAGGTCATCCACTCCATATGCATGCAATTAGTGTTGCCACCCATATGAATAGGCAGTGGTGCTGTGTGCCACATCTTCAGGCAAGCAAAGCCATGTCTAGGCTCTGAAGGAGCTGGTTATGGAGATGTTAATGTTTTTGCTGTCTTAAGATAGCCAGTCAGCAGAGGCATAGCAGTAGCTTGGTAATACTGCAAGCAACAAACACCACAAGCTAAGCTAGTGGAAAAAGATGCAAGAAAATCAGAATACTTAAATAATCCCTAAGGAAATTATGTGATGAAGCCTGCACTATAAAGTACTTTAAAGCTGGTTATCCAACATCTGAGTAGTCGTTTCTATTAGACTTCAATGCATGCATAGTCAGTGTGATATAAACTGTCACAACACAACAGTTTCTGCTTTGAGCCTTGATTATTTAATTAAATGTCACATGTTTTTATTGGTTTTAAATTACTTTTCATATGTTAAATTTCAGTCTTCAGACAGGTCTGGGATTGGTCATCAGATGCCACCAACAACTGTTTTATGTATAAGTGCATCAGCTCCAGCTGAGATAACAAAGAGTCTACTAATCACCATTGCTGACCAATTTAACACCGGTTCAGACAGTTTGTTGAACCTGACTGTGATTCTTTAGTTAAATCTGAGCAGCTTAAATTCAGAGATAAGTAAATGTATTAATTGTCGAGTTGTACTTTTTACATAGCTTTTTTACATTTGCGTTTTGAAATTCTTTTAGGGTTGTTATCCCAATAAATCTAGCTGCACTTGCTCTGTCATGGATCAGACACCATAATACATCAACAAGTTGGAAGTTGTTTAAAAAAAATAATCATCTTTTAGTTGTTGGCTTGTTTTTAAAGCAATGACTTTAAACTTTTCTGATTTCATTGTAAATAGAAATTCCCTGAAGAATAATTAATGTTTTCCCTTTATTTCTTTGCTACAGGAGGACATGGAGAAGATGGAGGCTAGGGAAAAGGAACTGAAACAGCAAGAAGCTCAGAAGAAGCTTTTTGAGGGACTTAAGTTTTACCTCAACAGAGAAGTTCCCAGAGAGTCTCTGGCATTCGTCATCAGGTGAGCGAGAGATGCTACAGTGAAGCAAAGAAACGTCCACGGAAGCCTGAAGCTGACTTTTTCACTTTTGTGTATTTCTGTTGCCTTTCAGGTGTTTTGGAGGTCAGGTATCCTGGGACACGTCTGTGTGCATTGGTAGCACATACGATGTGACAGATGAGACCATCACCCATCAAATTATTGACAGGCCCAGTGTTGGCAAACAGTATATCAACAGGTAGAGAAATGCTGTGCTTTTCATCCTGTATGGGAAGGCTTTTTTTTTCTTATAGAGGTATTTGATTTTGTCATAGAATTCTTAATCCTAGAGACAGGAAGTGTGTCATTCATGTACATTACCCACTTTTACAATGACTCCTTTCACTGGAATATTTCCCATCCCATCCCCCCACCCCCTGATCCTGCAGCAGAAAAAAATCCTCACCAAAGAGCAAGATTATATTCTCATTATTACATAGTAGACGCATGAAAATATGCACTTATTTGCCATTATAACAGATGATTTTCAAAACCTTTGCTTGTTTTAGATACTACATCCAACCCCAGTGGCTATACGACTGTGTCAATGCCAAAATGCTCTTGCCTGTGGAGGATTATTTCCTTGGGGTGACTCTACCCCCTCACCTGTCTCCGTTTGTGGAGGAGAAGGAAGGTGACTATGTGCCTCCAGAGAAACTGAAGATGATGGCCTTACAGCGAGGAGAAAAATCAGGTGTGGTTCAGTTGTATCTCAGTGTGTATGCAGGTCACGTCCACAATTCACTAACTTTTTCCCTCTGATCAGAGTCCTAGTTTTAAAAACAACAAACAAAAAATACTTTCAGATCTGAATGAACAACAGATGCATAGGAGGGAAAATTATAAGATAACCATAACCTCTAACCATGGTCTCTTGTCATTATTTTGTTACATCATAAAATTATGAGTATTGTACATAATCGAGTAGTTAAGCCAACTTTATTTATAAAGAACAACCACTGAGCAAAGTGTTGGACGTAGGAAGAAAAACACTTGAATTAAACTTTTTTTAAAGAGGCCTGTTTAATGTGAAATGGGAGCAAATTCCACAATTTGGGAGCGTATAACACCAAAGTCCTGTCCCCTGTGAGCCTGCACTGTGTCCTCGGCATATACAAGGAGTTGGTCAGCTGATCTGAGCGACTAGGAAAGTGGAGTGCAAGTGCAGCAGCTCAGAGAGGTTGTTTGGAGCGAGGCCATGTAACAACCTGAAAACAGATAAAAGAATTTTTAAAATGTCATGTGGAGAGTTAAATAGACATTCACGGCCTTTCTTCATCTGAATGGATGTAATTGATATTTGTGATTGATTTAAAAAGTTTAATGATTTGCTTCCTTTTTTGGGTTGTTTTGGAGACTTTAACACAAAACTGTTCTGATGGTCTGATTATGTGATTAATTACTGCCAGCATTCCTTAATTGGATGAATACATTTTTCCTGGTGGCCGGATCGAAATGTTGTGATTTACTAAAAGAACTGTAAGCGAGACAGCTTGTGGAGGTTATAGTTTATCTGATCAGAGTCCTAAAAAGCCACTTTGGCATCACACAGTAATGAGAATAAAAGATGAATATTCACAGCGTGAATATTTAATATAGGCACACAGGATTCAAATGTCAGCAGCACTAATTTTAAATAATTTATTTTTCTTCCTTTTATAGGCAATGAACAAGAGGAGGAGGAGGAAGAAGAAGAGGAGGAGGAAGGAGAACAAGAAGAGGAAGAAGAACAAGAAGAGGATGACAATGGTGATGAAGAGGATGATGAAGAGGAAGTAGCAGAAGAGAAAAACCTTAAGAAAATGGAAGAACAAAGATCCCAGGGCAAGGTGATATGTCAGATCCTGTTTTCTTTGTCATTGTGATTTTATTTTTTAGTAATCTTTTGGAATCTTTATTGACTCGTCTCGTTGTCTTTTAGTCTCTACATGTCAAAGTGACACCTGGACAGCTGAAGGTAGAAAATAAGGCACGCTTGGAGCAGGAGGAGAAAGCAGAGGAGAAGCGTCTGGCCATCATGATGATGAAGAAAAAGGAAAAGTACCTCTATGACAAAATCATGTTTGGAAAGAAAAGAAAAGTCCGTGAGGTGCGTACATTGCCGCTTTGCTAAGAATATTTGTTCAACCTAAAAGCTTTAACATTGAATATTTTAGTGTTGATACTGAGCATTTTATCTCAGGCCACAGTATTTACCAGTATTATGTAGCCGCTGCGGAGAGAACGGCGCAGCCCAGCGTTGACCCCCGCTGAGTTCACTGAGCTTAAAAATGGTTGCGTAACAGGTGTTGAGTATCTTCCATTAATTGGGCTCCTTCTCTTTTTACAGGCTAACAAGCTTGCTGCCAAGAGGAAGGCTCACGATGATGCAGAAAAAGCAAAAAAGAAAAAGGCCCGAAAATAACTGGTGCCTTCTTCAGACTGACTTTCTTTCTCTACCATATAAAACCTGAAAGTGTAGTAGAGCTCTGCGTGCTACATGCACTCTAATGACCTCTGCAGAACTTCAAACAGCGCAGGTTGTCACAAATGCTAGTTGTGTGATTATTATTGTAAAAGTAACTGTTTGATCTGTGTTCCACTTTTCTGTATTGTACAATACAACTTCCTTTTTATTTTAAAATCTGTAACCGAAACATTTTACAGTTAAACGGACTGAATTAAACCTGTTACTTGTGATATTGCATCTCTAAGAAGAAATGATTCTCTTAGTCTTGGCGCCATATTGAAAAATGATTATTTATCCTTGAGGCTGTAGCTTTAGGGCAGCTGACTCTTTTCAAAGCTGTGCATGGATCAGACAAGATGGCAAAAGGTCGGAATATAATCTGGAATGCAAGGCTTAAGATTTCACATCTGTAGAGGCTCAGGTCACGCTGCTGCTGTCGGTTGAACCTCTTTGCTGATTGGTTAACACTTAAGTAGTGGGTGGTAATGACGAAGAACCACAAGACCAAAGCACCATCTCAGAGGGCAAAGGCTACACCCATCATACCCCTCCGCTCCTTGGTTTCCTCACACAGTTTGACACTCGCTGCAGCCTCTCATCCCTCGCTTAGGACCCAAATCTACATTCCTCACAAGCCCACCCAGTTCAAGTCTCAGCCTGGCACTCTGTTTGCCTACAGGCAGAACCACTCCCCGCTGAACAAAAACGGTGTTGTGCCTGAGCTTGATGAATGTGGGTTGACCAGCACAGATCAAGTCTGCCTTCCAAGAACCGAGAAATCAGTTTAGAGGAAGATGGAGCTCATGTGTAGTGTGGTTTGTTTTTTTGTTTCGTTTTGTTTTTTGGCCGGTATCTTGACAGCGTATTGCAACATCTGTACACAAAGCCAGATAGACTTGTCGCTCCAGTAATGTTCACTTTCTGCTAAAATGGTTGCCTGGGATGGCAGTTTCACATCAGAAGGTACCATGTGGTATAACTTGTATGTAGAGTTAAAATGTTGATAGCCTTTAGTTAATGAATTGCAGATAAAGATAAGGGAGATTTAAAAGATCAATCCTTTGTAAATACAAGCTGGAGAAACTTATGTGCAGGTTTGTTGTGAAATAAATATCAAATATCTGATCTGTGGTGTAAAATTTAACAACACATACTCGGTAGCCTTGATCAACTAGTACACTTGGTCTTTGTGCTCTGGATTTCTACATTTGTTTCTCTTATGCTGTTTTCTACCCCTCCTATCAGCTTGCAGCTCAGACTCCAGTGTCTACACTCAATGGTCTTTTGTATGTAGACACTGAATAGGCACTGTACAGTCTCACTCCTCCCTCACCAGTTCAACCTCCCTCCCTCTCACCCCTCCTCTTTTACGCTTCCTAGCAAGTGCTTGTCCCTTGACACAATTACTGACGTCACAGGTGGCTTGATGAGCTTCCCTGCAGTGCTTTGTTCAGCGTGATCAGTTTTGGAATCAAAAGTTGAGGGGGGAGGCAGCTGGCTGCCTGAAAGCATCAGGTGTGCGTACAGAGGCAGGGGGAGAAAGGAGAAGAGGAACAGCAATCAGATGAATGAGCTGCGCAGCACAGGACATGTGATAGGACAGCAGGACCGTGCTGGGTCTATAGCGGCATGTTTTTGTCACAATCAAGATACAAGGACAGCCGTTAGAGGGAGATGAACTTGTATTAATTTTTTGGGAACTGGGCGGACTAAATGATTCTGTCAATAAATTACCATTACCACTAGTTTGTCTTTGGACTTGCGCATAAGGGTAAGAATTTCTTCTCCGCTCTTTTCACAATAATCTTTTTTCCAACACCTTTTCTCCAGTGTTTTTGCACGAAATGGAGCGATTCAACTAAATCTAGTCATTGTTACCCTTAATGTTTACTCTTAAAACAATGTTATGCTCTGTCTTTTCAATTCCTTCTCATATAAATGGGGGAAAGAAAAAAAACAAACTTTGTAGTCCAGCTATGCAAAGCTCAAGATCCATGATAGATGAGGAAACATTCAGGAAAGTAAGTGAAGTATTGCTAATGTTGATCCTACCCAGGCGTGCATTTTTGATAAATCAAGCTTTAGTGAAAATCTAAACATTACCCTCACAACTGAGTTTGTATTTATATATATATTATTGTGGGAAATGTTTTCACTGCACCTTTGCAGGCGAACAATCTATTCCCAACTTCAAACACAGTTACTTTTCTCTTCATGGACTTTTTACTAGATCTGCTTTAAACCTCAATCGAAAGCTGGCCTCAGTCCAAAAAAGAGATGAATACTTGACATAGTGGATACCAAGAAGCAATGACGTACTTCACAGTCAGGATTCTCTAAAGGAGCAAAAACACTGTCAGATTCAGTTTAGCACAGACAAACGCACACTGCCATGTGTGACTTACAATCATGACTAAAAGAAAAAAATATTTAAGGAGTTATCCTTTGATCAGAAAAAGAGTGGACGCAGATGATCATTTTCTAATGGTAACCTAATTTAAAGCTGTTATTAGAAGGGTCACTGTAATAGGTTTATCTTTCTACATTATGCATAAAAATATAATTTTTAGCAACTTTTGTGTATGCTGTTACTTCATGAAGACACGAAATTATTGTGTGGGACCGTGTTTAATTGCCGCCGTGATGGTAGAGGAACCAGTAATCCAAGAATGTAAACGGCAACTCAAACAGAGTTGCACAGTGATGACATGTCTATGAAGCAGCAGCAGCACATAACAGGCAATTTAGTTCTCACAACACAGAGCTGTCCTATGCTGGCAACATGCCTGCCTGTATCACTGACTGGAACATTTACAGGCCAGGCCATTACACTCCTACAACTCTGAAACATTCGAGAATCTCTCCAGTTGGAGAGCTCCAAACATTCGGAATGCTTCTGTCCGTAAGGAGGTCAGCTCTGTATAACTGCTACAACTGTTACCAAAAGTATATGTACTTCTTGTAAGTCCTTGTACTTCTATATTTCTAATTCTTCTCCTGGTCTCTTTCACTATATAAGTCTGAAAATTTGGCTAAACTGCAAAACTGTATTGTAACCTTTTGAGGATTGGGGGTGGAAAGGGGTAGTTTAATTTGGTAATTTTCTCTCTAAGCAATCTTATTCCACTAGTGGTTGACAAGTTGATACCAAAGAATACTATGTTTTGCTAAGCTGTGGTTAATTTTTAATTAAAAGAATGTATATGCATTGGGTTCACACTGGTTCAGATAATGTCACAAATTCCAGGTGGTGAGTTTCAACTCATTACTTATGTAGCTGAGTGAGCAGATGGCTCGCCTTACCGCAGGCTGCAGTAGGGAATGCAATATCACTTTCTGTGTTGATGCATTATTTATTTTACAGGAAGCTGAGAAACAAATATTTTGTTTTGTCATTCCTCATACAGTTCAAATTCTTTCTGTTTAAAATATTCATTAAATACACTTACATTATATACAGTATGTAGTATGTTACCGCTTATTCACACTCAACTTGGAAAAGGTGGAAATGCTTTGCTGCTTATGTATTTGAACAAGCTGGAACAAATTGTGAAACTACATTCACTGACTTCATTCACTTCACTGAGCATTTTGAAAGATTGTACTTATTGATCTGTACCTGCCTGCTCTTTGACAGGTCTCTGTTGAAAAAGAGATCTTAATCTCAGTAAAACTCTGTCTAAATAAATTAGACAGCCAAGGTTAACTATGTAAGTGTAACCTTTCCCTGTGGGTTCATATTCTTTAGCACCTTAAATCATAGGCCACACTATAGCACTGCTGTCCATGTAAAATTACTGGTTTGTAAACCTGCTATTAGTGAGCTTCTTTAATTTTTTATTTTTTTTTACCAAAATAGCTGTTCTTCCTGCCCTCTGTCAGAGTGTTTCCATTGAGCAATACATGTACCAAAACCAGCGTTAAAGCTACGCATTTAGTGCTGCCTTTCCTAAATGACAAATGCAACTTTCACCTGCCTTTGTGGTGCATTTTTTTTCCACTTTGCTTTTGTGTGCACTTCTGCACACACAACTGAACAAAGATTATAATCCCTGTAATCAAATTACAATTAAATAACCAAGAAACTATCTAAATCAATCATTTCAAGTGTTCTTGTAATGCTGTGTCAGCGACACACCCGCTGAGGAACAAACTCTGCTTGGTGATTCTGTTTTGAGACGTGAAGCTAGAGACACCAGCAACCATAGATAATTGTCTTCCAGGGTCCAGAGCAGGCAACTTTGAGGGAACCCTAAAACTCCTGGCTAAAGATAAACGTAAATTTGTAAAATTATAATTCGCATCAACAGTAAAGACACTTGGTTAAGTCAATCGAAGGTCATTAAAATTAATATTAAATCAATGTGTAACTTTGCCAAAAGAATATCGAACTCTGTAGTTTTCTCTGGTCCCCAATCGCACCAGTAGTGACGTGTTTAGCTGCATGTTTTTCTTAATTTGCCTACTGTCTGAGTGGTGTCCAAAATAATTATGTATGTTTTACAGATAACTGGGAAACTTTCTAGGG